CCCCCGCACGCCGAGGGGCGGGGGCACCGCCAGCGGGCAGGGCTCCGTCAAGTACGACAGCACGGATCAAGGGTCTCCCGCCTCCACCCCGTCGACGACGCGGCCGCTGAACTCGGTGGAGCCGGCCACCGTGCAGCCCATCCCCGAGGCCCACAGCCTGTACGTCACCCTCATCCTCTCGGACTCGGTGCTGAACATCTTCAAGGACCGGAACTTCGACAGCTGCTGCATCTGCGCCTGTAACATGAACATCAAAGGGGCCGACGTGGGGCTGTACATCCCCGACTCCTCCAACGAGGACCAGTACCGCTGTACCTGCGGCTTCAGCGCCATCATGAACCGGAAGCTGGGCTACAACTCCGGGCTCTTCATCGAGGACGAGCTGGATATTTTTGGCAAGACCTCAGACATCGGCCAGGCCGCAGAACGGCGGCTGATGATATGTCAAAGCAACTTGATCTCTCAGATGGGAGAGGGAGCTAGAAGGAGTCAGGAACCTCCCATGAGCCTCCTGCTCCTCCTCCAGAATCAGCACACGCAGCCTTTCACCTCTCTGAGCTGCTTGGATTACATGGCCTCCAATAACCGTCAGACTCTGCCCTGTACGAACTGGAGCTACGACAGGCTGCAGGCAGACAGCAACGACTCCTGGGTGGAGTGCTTCAATGCCCTCGAGCAAGGCAGGCAGTACGTGGACAACCCCACCGGTGGGAAAGTGGATGAAGCTCTCGTAAGAAGTGCCACTGTACACTCTTGGCCTCACAGCAATGGTATGGCTCAGAACAGATGTGGTTTTCCTTTAAATTCTTTGGTGACCTCTATAGATTGGTTTGAAACTTGCCAGTCTTGAGCCACACGATCTTTATGTGGGAAACAATACGCCTAAAAATACTCTAGAAATAAGGCAGATTTCTGAAATGACCTCTAAAGTACCAATAATCCAGTTATCCTTAGACTTTGTGTCCTAAATTGCAAAAGAGTCAGTAGAAGTTCACAAATACGAAGCAGAGTTCAAATTCATTCAAATTTTAATTTCTTCAAAACAAATTCAGGTGTTGGGGGAGGGCAGAATTCTGGCCCCTTTGTTTTGGAGAAAGGGTATCAGCAGGCAGCAGGGAAGAGATGCTCTGTATGAAAGTGTCACCAAGGGGGAAAAAAAAGTGATATTATAGTTGAATGTTACCCATTTATATGCTGGAGATGCTCTGACTTCTCACAAACTGAGCTGGACAACAGTAACATTGACAGGTATGTGAAAAGGACAATGATGACAGCTTCATCTCAACACTTCCATCAAGTCCCACATGAAATACCATTAAGCTAATTAGAGCTGTACAGATTTTATGGGCGTTGTGAAGAACAAGGCGAAGGAACAGTAAATCAGAAGGTGTTGCTCTCTGCTCCTGTTGCTCAGTGAAAATGATTGCTGCTCCTTTGTCGTTCACAGTGCTGGACATCAGCATGCTCTCCTCCCAGGACGTGGTGCGCATGCTGCTGTCCCTGCAGCCCTTCCTCCAGGATGCCATCCAGAAGAAGCGGACGGGAAGGACCTGGGAGAACATCCAGCACGTGCAGGGACCACTCACCTGGCAGCAGTTCCATAAGATGGCAGGACGGGGGACCTATGGTACGTACCTCATGGTCTATGCCAACAGTTAAAGTGACAGTGTGGTTCTCTAGCCACAGGCACTTGTTTCTGGAAGTAGGTCATAGCTTTGGACTGGGGGCTCCTCATGTAGCTTTAAAGGCATTTGAAGCACATGCTTGAGTACTGTAGTGAAGGTTTTACCCTTCCAGAGTGAAAAAAATACCCAGGTGAGGATCAAGGTCCCTGGCTTGAAGCTGTTTTGGCTTGTCCTGAAGCTGGCTGGTGTAGGAATAACACAAAGGGAGGAAGAGAGTTGTACAGATCACAAAAGGGAAGAGAGGCTTTTGGAGTTGTACAAGTGTACAAAAAGGGGTTGAGTTTTCCCCACAAAGAGGTTTGCTTGTTCTGAGGTTTCCCATAGTCTTAACAAGGAAATATCTTCTGGAAAACAGAAACTAAAAAACAGAATTTGTATGTGCATGTTTGAAAAATCATGACCGGCACTGAAATATGTATTTCTCACCTGAATTTATTTCAGGCCTTAATGGATGCAGTCTTGCTTAGGATTTTTTTCTACAGTTCCATTTGTGCTTTACTTGATTTTTTTTTTCTCTCTGTTGGTAATTGATATATTCTGTTCTCCTTTGGGGCTGGGACAACTTGTGGTAACTCCAGTTCCTGTCTAAAGCAGTTGTGCTTCACAAAGAGGACTTCTAATCTAAGAATTTTTCCAGGGTTTGTAACTCTAAGAGTTAGGATTGGCCAATTGCTACTAGAGGGGGGGAGGAAAGACAAAATTACCATGTAACAAGTAGCAGAGCCTTTGATACAGATTCAGTAATTTTTACTGAATGTTGACTTTTAATGAAGTTGGATTATATTCTGCAGGAACTACTTGGATATATTTTCACTGGCGATTTTCCACAGTATTTAGTGTATTGAGCAGAGCCTGGGAGGTGATGCCATGCTGAACCAGATGGGCACCCTGAGGTGTGACAGCAAGTGCTCTGTGGAGAGGAGCAGGAGGCAATTTTTGAAATGATGAGAAATTTGCTTTGTATTATATACCAGGGAAGAGGTTTGACCATTTTTCTTAGTGATTTTGCACAACCAGGTGGAGGTAGAGGAAGAAGTATGAAATTGGATTTTATGTATTTGTGTTATTCCTTTTGATTGATTAGGGACTCGTGAGGTGTGGTTATGGTTATGACAAAGTCAAACCAGGAGATTAGGCCTGGGGAAGGGCCATACACACATTTACAGCATACTGAAAGATGGTTTATTGCAACTTTCTAAGAAAGTTTAACTGGTGCTTGGATCAGTTCCCTCTATTTTGGCTGACTGAACTTTGATTTTATGACCTTTCTTAAGTACAAGATAAATCTTTCTTCTCCTTTATTAAATATTTGTTTCCCAAGGAAAAAGACTGTGGGAAAACAGGGGTTATCAGGCATGATACAACCTCAAGATATGTTTCCACTCCCTGGTCAAATTTCCAGAAGACTCAGCACAGCCTGGGATTAGAGATTTCCAATGTTCCTGTAAAAAAATCCCTCTTCTGGTACATCAGAGAACCTGCAGCAGTGAAACTGGTTATTTTAACATGTTTTTCTTTATTTTTTCTTCTCTTTGAAGGCTCTGAGGAATCTCCTGAGCCTCTTCCAATCCCGACTTTACTGGTGGGTTATGACAAGGACTTCCTGACAATCTCCCCGTTCTCCTTGCCCTTCTGGGAGAGGCTGTTGCTGGACCCGTATGGGGGCCACCGGGACGTCGCCTACATCGTGGTGTGTCCAGAAAATGAGGCCTTGCTCGACGGAGCCAAAACTTTCTTCAGGGACTTGAGTGCTGTATACGAGGTTGGAAAGAGGAACCACACTGAACTGTTTCTTCTCCACTGTCATGTGTCCTCTTCTGCATGTTCTTTGGGGGAAATCCGAGGCTTTTAAGGCAACAGTTATTTCAATAAGGTTTTCTTTCCTTTCGGGGCATCCAAGAATACTATCTTAATTGAGTTGTTCTGGGATTCTCTGTGCATTTGGGGTATTTGTTGCCATCTTCTGTTTCCAGTACACATTCTCTTATTTTACAGAGGATAGAACACTCCTATTAATACAGTTGCAGCCTAGTGCAGGAAAGCCCAACCAAACCTAAAGAGAAAGAGCAGATGGCAGAAAATGTTGCTTTCTTGTAATTCCTTGGATGGAGATAAACCCATTTCCTTTTTGTAGCATGCATGTTGTTTCCTACTGAATATTTAGTTATTAATATATTAGTATTTATTATGTTATTAGTATATATATTATTGAGGATATCAGTTTTGCTGTAAGGGTGACCCAAGTCAGCAGATCAACTTAGCCTTTTGTGCTTATATTTATTAAGAAGCCACCAGTTGTGTGCTAAATACACACGATACACATTAAATACATTCAATTAAATTAAATACACATTAAATTAAATTAAATACACATTACTTTTGTGTAATAAAGGGTTTCTGCTGCACACCAGCCTGCCTACCAGTTCAGGTGCTTGGCATCCAGTCACGTGCCTCTCTGCTTTCCTCCCCAGATGTGTAGGCTGGGCCAGCACAAGCCCATCTGCAAGGTGCTGCGTGATGGGATCCTGCGGGTGGGGAGGAGCGTGGCCCAGAAGCTGCCAGAGGAGCTGTTGTGCGAGTGGCTCGCCCAGCCCTGGGGCACAGAGGAGTGTGACAATCATGCCAGGCTCAAACTCTACGCCCAAGTTTGCCGCCATCACCTAGGTGAGTCTGCCCCGGCGCTAAGGCTGGTCCATCTTCTGTAGAGGTTATTTGTAATAAGTGGAAACAGGGGGCTTCTTCTTAAGGTGTGATTATGATCTGTGGAAAAATTAGAAGAGGTGTTATGAGGCTTTATCTTGATTTCTTAATCTCTCCATGTTAAATTTCACCTGCTTTAGAAAGTTGTTTTGTCGGTCTGGTGATCACCCTCAGAGGTTCCAAAGCCAATTCTTATCTTTATAGAAAAGTCATGGAATGATAGAATGTCTTGGGTTGGAAGGGGCAAAGGCCATCCAGTCCAACCCCCCTGCTATAAGCAGGGACATCTCCAACTAGGTCAAGCTTCTCAGAGCCTCATCCAGCCTGACCTTGAATGTCCCCAAGGATGGGGCCTCCACCACCTCTCTGGGCAACCTATTCCAGTGATCTGTTACACTCATATGAAAGAACTTTTTTCTAATGTCTAACCTAAATCTCCCCTCTTCTAGCTTAAAGGCATTGCCCCTTGTCCTGTCCCTACATACCCTTGTGAATAGACCCTCCCCTGCTTTCTTTTAGGCCCCTTTCAGGTACTGGAGGGTTGCTATAAGGTCCCCCTGGACCTTATAAAGTCACTTTGGTATAAGATGTTTGTGTCTCTCAGATGTTCCACACAAGATTGACTGTATAAATGATGGGGTTTATGTGCTCCTGATACGTGTCATCACACAGGTGTGACAGAATGATGTGCAGGGTGCCTTCAAACATTTCTTTCTGTAAGAGACAAGTTCACCCAATCTCTGCATAGGAAGAATGAGTGAGAAGAGAAAGGAGCAGTAGTCTTGATCACTGGGGCCTCAGTCCACTTGGGGTGGATCCCTGGAACCACATTACCCTGAAGGTGTGGTCTCCTCTGCACCTTATGGTGGCTTGACTCCATCCTAAAACATGAGGGGAAAAAAACCATTTTAACATATATTCTTTTGTTGTTGTTGTGGCAACCTGCCATATTTTAACCTAACATCAAGTGTGCTCATTTCCTGATGGAGAGTGGAATCTGAGAGTATAGAAGGTATAAAGTTTGCTGGTGTACCATCAGGCCCTGGATGAATCCCTGGCCCCATCTAACATTGCTCCCAGAGTTCATCCATGGTTGTTCCATTCCAAAATGGGTCCAGAAGCAATCTCACATGAATTGTGTGTATGGCTGAGAAATGGAATCTGAGCACAAGACCCAGACCCTTCCAAAAGGTCACTGGAAGTGCAGGTGCTGATCAGTGCTGGTCAGCCACACAGGCAGGGAGCCTGGAACACCAGCTGTGGAAGTGTGTTGTGCTTGAGCTGAAATGTGCAAACATCTGGCAGGGACAGTGTTGGAAACTTACCCTGCTGGTGATCTACCACCTCTGAGAGTACACAAATAATACATATTAATTTACTTGGTTTTTAAAATCATTTATTATTTAAAAGTAATGCCTGTTATATCTCTTCTGATACTGGGCAGCAGAAGTTACTGTATTCAAGTTTGCCATGATTGTAGCTCAGGTAAAAAGGACTTTCAGATTTTCAGTCTGACAGAGATAACCTGGAGTAGATTGAAAAGCTGAAGACTCTCTAAAGCTGTTATCACAACACCATCTAGCCAGAGATAAGGACAAGTTGGTACCAACTTGGCCTCACAAAGCTCTGCTAAATCAGTCCTGTTTCTAAAGATATTTGATTCGTATCAGAACTGAAACCCTGAAGAATGGATTCCAAAGTAAATATTTATGATGGAGATTATGTTCAGTTACCATTGATACACTCAGAATATTCTAAAAGCACAGAAAATATTATATGGCTATGGTTAATGCAGTTCACTCTGATCTGAGAGACTCATTAGCCTTCTTTCCTCTTCATTCTCTATCCCAGCACCTTACTTAGCCACTCTGCAGCTTGACAGCAGCCTATTGCTACCCCCCAAGTACCAAACCCCAGCGCCAGCAAACCAGACACAACCAGCACCCGGAAGCACTGGACCTGCACCCTCCAGTTCAACGTGTCTCTCGGCTGCTGGGGCAGCACCCACGGGCAGCTCCTTTAACTCCACACCCAGTGGTGGGACCAGCAGCCTTCCAGCAGGAAGCAGCTCATCCTCTGGATCCTCTGTGTCTACTGCAACGCCCGGCGTCCCCCAGGTGGCCACGAGCTCTGCCCCAGGCTTCCCTGGGAACGCTGGGTCAGGGCAGAACCCCAGCGCTGGGGGAGGTGCCGCGGAACGCTCGCAAGGAGCCACGGCTCCTGGAGGAGACACAGAACCAGGGCAGAACTTACCACAGCAGCAGCAGGAAGGACAGGAGGGGTAAGTTACTGAAGTGCTCAAACGACTCCAAGTATTCCTAATTAAATCCACTGTTCTGCTTGCACACAGCTCCTCAACTGTAATGTTAGTCCTCAAGAGAGGACCCTCTGACAGGCACAGTGCTCCTGACTCACAGCAGTTACTGATAAATGGGAGTTGCTGAAAACAAACCTTCCCTTTTTCATTAGAACCAACAAAGCTTGGCTCAGCTGCATGAACATGGGTGTTGTGGTTCCATGTGAGGTGCCTTAGGATACCCCACCTGGCCTGCAGAAGGTGTCTCAGGTTCTGTGCTGTATCTAGTTGGGTCCCACCTTTGTCAGGTACCCCAGGACATCTCACGTGGCACTGAATGCCTCTGACGTGGGCAACTCCATCCCACCTGTAATGTTAACAGAGGCAAAATGCCCCCCATAGTTTAGGGTTTTTTACCTTATTTGCTTCCATTGCAGGTGTTGTTTTGCAAGCAGGTACACACTGAGGTCAGGAAACAGGATTGTATTGCTATGAACTTAAAATAAATTTCATCAGCACAACCTTTTTAAAGACTTCATTATAAATAGTCATCCATCAAACATAAAAATTTGGAAAAGGGTTTTTTTAACGTCTTGCGTAAGTTACTTCCTGAGTGGACATGTTTTTCATTACTCTCACAATAATGCATATTACTAATAGTTGTGATATATGTTATGGAGTTCCTGTATCTGAAGGGAAAAGCCCACATCCTGTTGTAGCTGGGGTTATCCTGAAGCCATCTGTGCAGAGTCTCCTTCTACCCACTGCAGCACGCTTCCTGACAAAGCCAGGCCGAGCTGCTCTTTTATCACTTACAGATGTGGAGCCTCCTGTTCATGGCTGAGGCATGGAGCAGTGTTTTAGCAAGTCAGAAATGTTCACTTGCTCCTTCTGTTACCAATGGAGCCTCTTCTGTAACTGGACAGAGGACTTCAGTCTCCATGAATATTACTTGGGCACTGTTCCTCACTTCTCAGTTCCTTCCTTCCCACTTCCACCTCTCCCAAAAGAAACACTCTAAACAGCACCAAAACCCCGACTTGCACATACATAGAAAGAAAACTCCCAGAGCTTATAGCAGTCAACTTTCCCATATTCCTCAGACATAAACTGTTCTGATGGCATTAAATGAGATTGCATTAGACTTCATGGCATCCTTCATGCACAATCAATAACAGGTCTTTTGGGTTGTGAGCTGCTGTGAGTAGAAGTCCTCTCTCCTCCATCACTCTTGTCTTGTTTTACTTCCGAGTGTAAGAACCACTCAGTACTCCCCATTTCCCTGCTCTGCTTCAGCCTGGCACACCTTTACAGAAACCCAGTCATTAACAGCTGTCCCCTGCCTTTGAGTTTAACACCTGGTGTGTCCACAGTGTTGCAGAGAGGGAGAGAATTGGGATCCCCACGGAGCCGGAGTCGGCGGACAGCAACGCCTACCCTCCCGCCGTGGTCATCTACATGGTGGATCCTTTCACCTACACTGCAGACGAAGAATCTGCCTCAACCAACTTCTGGCTGTTAAGTTTGATGAGATGCTACACAGAAATGTTGGATAACTTGCCTGAGAACATGAGGAATTCTTTCATTCTCCAGGTAAACTGTACCTTCCTCAGCAGCTTCGCACTGCAGACTTACTCTATCACAGCATACGTTTGATATAGGTGCTGTACTAAAAGATAGAAAATGCAAAATAATCTGTAAAATTTAGGTGACTTCTGGAAATCATCTGCTAGAGGCTTCCTGGAGAGGGATTTCTGCTATTTAAGTTGCGACTTGAGTTGCCACTGCCAAAAATGTCCTGTTGCTCCTTTGATTACTTGGCGTGTTGAGTTGTTTGCTTTCTATATTCTCTTGATTTATACTGTTTAATCCCCAAGAAGTATGTGAAACCAGACATTTAATGCATAATTTAACTATTGTATTATTATTATCTGCTGCTTAAAAATAATTTACCGTGTAACTTGGCATATAATAATAGTTACTGGGGAATTACTTAAGAATTGAATTTGTGTAGCCAGCAGCAGAGCTTGGCCTGCTGCCCAGGCTGCCTGCTTTTTGCCATGCCTCTTCTTTCCCAGTAGCCCAGTCAAAATAACTGGGAGGAGGAGAATGGGAGGTCAGAGGTCACGAGCCATGCATGTACTTGTGCAACACGTGCAAGAAGCAGCATTTGAATGATTTCTGTATCCATTATTCACGTGTGATCAACTTGGCCTGAAAGTGTTTTAATTTAAATTATTTTTAGAAAAGAATTGGAAGTTAAAGTGTTTCAAAGGGGGCACGGCAAATATTTGTCATTTTTGGTGATTGTGACCCCTGAGATGATGGGGGAAACTGTCAGCAAAATACTTCAGGCTTTGGGATGAACTGAAAATGAGATTCACAACTTCATTAGTGTGGTAGACTGCAGGCAGTTTAATTGATTTATTCCTGAAGATACTAAAAAATCAAACAGGCCCTGATATCACAGTGTCTGAAATTCAAGAACATGTGAATTGTACATGGAAATTGTATCTTAGTCTGTGTAAGACAACTAATGGGCTTACCAACTGTTCCTAAGGACTCTTTGTTTTCTGGGTACTTACTATTTCTTCCTCAAAATATGTGCTTTTTGCCAGTTAAAGTCAAAATTGTAGCCAGTTTCCTCTAAGTGAAGGGTAATGTGATCTAGTTCCCAGACAGTGTTCTCACAGCTGTACCCTAGCATACACAAACATACAGTTATTTCAGAATAAATCAAACCCAAATGTTCACAGATTTATTTCAGTTCATATATAGAGTGGGAAAGCCCAGCTTCTCAAGGTCTGTTTGGATAAAGTTGTCTTTTATAAACATACAGTCGCATTTAGTAAGTAGAATATGCTACCAAGAACCACAGAGTAGTAAAAGTTCTGTGATCAACAGTACATTACAAAAAAAAAAGTGTTTACAGGGATTTAATTCTGATTTTAAAAAGGATTCAAGCTGAAAACATCATGTTGGTTGTGTTTCTGAAGGAGTGTTGTGCCATTTTTCCTCCCTGTCCCCCTTGTGCAGATGGGTCTTAACCACCAACCCTCAGTCTTGTAGGCAAATCTTACTGTGCTGCTGCTTCTGGATGGTTGAACGTGTAAATTGAAGTCCTGCTTCACCTTCTGAAACAAAACTGACCAGCAGCAGAAGATGGCAGAGCCTCTGCTTGTCACTTGTGGCTCCCACATGACCAGCAAACACATACTGGTGCTAACCACAAGCTCTGGACTCAAACCTGCCTAAGGAGAATGAGTTCAGAATATTGAGGTTGTATAGTAAAGGCTGCCCTCAAATGAAGATCCTGGTCAGAAAAGCATTAACTCTGTAAGAGTTAAAGGTGTTTAAATGCAAGTGTTTGATTTTGGACTGTGGTTTAAAATTAAAACTACCCCCAAGATTTAGGGTATTGTTTTTAAAAGCCATGTAGGTGTGATGCTTGGGGATATGGCTTAGAGGTGGACTTGATAAAGTAGATATAATGGTTGGACTCGATGATATCAAAAGTCTTTTCCAAACAAAGTGATCCTGTGATTCCTGTGGTATAATTTGATAAGTGTTACATATTTAATTAATTACATGCCCCTCCCAAATTGCAGCGTGACTGAGAAAGTGAACTTCAGAAAAAGAAGAAATCTGTTCTTGTGTAGCTGGGGTTTCTCATCCAATGATGTTTATATCTCAGAAAGCAAAATTGCTGTAGATTTTCTATTAGGCTGTTTGTCAGCTATTATTACTGGTGCCCTATACAAGACTCTTTCCTTACACGGCATGGTAGGAGTCTAAAGCTTCCTGAGGGAATTTGGAACATTAATTACATCATTAGAATGGAAACAGCAGGTTTGTATCAGGGAATACAGTCACTGGATGATGTCAGTACCAGTGGTGGGAAGCTGCAGGTGCTGTAATGCCAAGAATTCCATGCCACGTACGTGTCGTGGTTAAATGACTCATGACTGAGTCTGGATGAGATGAATGAAGAGCTCTCTGAAGACTTTCAATCCTGTTTTATTTTACAGATTGTGCCTTGCCAGTACATGCTGCAGACAATGAAGGATGAACAGGTTTTCTACATTCAGCACTTGAAGTCCTTGGCGTTTTCAGTGTACTGCCAGTGCAGGAGACCACTGCCCACACAGATCCACATCAAGTCTCTCACAGGCTTTGGGCCAGCTGCCAGCATTGAGATGACCCTCAAAAATCCTGAGGTTAGTATCAGTGTCAAAAAGTTGAAAGGCTGTTAATAAACCTTAACTGCTTTTCTCCAATATGAAAAAAGTGTAGAGAAAACACTTTTGGGAGTATTTTTATATAGAAGACAATGATAATATAAAGGGGTAAGGTAAGCTAATACTAAATAAAAAACAGTAAGGAAAAAGTCAGACTACCTGCTTTCAAAACATTTTGAGCTTCTGGTTTTGAGTCATAAAGCAAAAGGTTAAAGATCAGTGTGAAAGAAGAGAAAATGTATATGTTTTCTTGGGATTCAGAGACATTTTGTAGTTTTAGCCTATAGTGCTCCTACAAGAAGGTGTTTATGCCCAACCTTTATTTATAAACACATGTATATGAAATAAGTTCCTGTGCCTAATTGCAGATATTAATTCCCCAAGGTAATGGAGAAATCTCCCTATTTCAGCAGTCTTATCTTTCATCTGCTTTTTAAACTGTAAATATTCAAGCTCTGTTTCTGGAATTCCAGGGATTTCAAAAGAAGAATAATCCATCCTACCTTCCGTAGATGTTTTTCATTCTTTGGAAGATAACGTTGACTGTTTTATTTAGATTTAATGGACCAGCTGAACACTTAAACACTTACCTTGAGATAAAGACCTGCTTGTTAGGGTTTAAAAACCTAGTTTCAAAATCATCATAAAACCAACCTATCAACACGTTTCATTACTCACGTAAGACCATAAGCTCTCACTGAAGGTTTTTAAGAGGACTGTCACCCCAGGCATCTCCTCTTCACATTCCCTCCTCATGCTTCCCTCACAAAGGTTCAAGAGGACGGATTTTGCAGCAAGTTACAACAGTCATGCTGCAAGCTCTTTAGGTGTAAGGAAAAGAGCAATAAACTTGCAAGACCTTTGGCAGCATCTCCATCCCTTTAATAGCTGTTCCTGCACGGTGCCAAGGTGGTAAACTTCTAGAAAGTGACTTAAGCAGAAATATGATGCCCCTTTGTGTCTCTAAGAGAACACCATAACTTGCTTTTCTTCTGAGCTGATCCTCTGGTATCCAGTGGTGTGATGAGAGGCAGTGGGCACAAGCTGAAAAACAAGAAATTCAATTTAAATGAAAAAAAATACACAAGAAAACTTTTTAACTGTAGGGATGATTGAATGCTGGAAGTAGTTGCCCAGGCAGGCTGAGCATCTGCACCACTGGAGATGACATCCCATAGCTCTGTGTGTCCAATGAGGCAGATACTCAGCATCCTGGGCAGCCCACTCTAACTGACCACATAGGCAGGAGGCTTGGGCTGGATGATCAGAGGTCCCTCCCAATCTCAGCCTCCTGGGATTTTAACACTACTTGTATTTTTTTTTTTCCTCCTATTCTGTTTTTTCATTAATAAAAAATGGATTTAATAACTTACTCCTGTTGGGTTCTGCAGGAGGACTCCACATGTATTATTTACAACAGTAATTTACATCTGCTTATTGTTAAGTGGTGTTGAATGGCCTTGATTTCTTAGAACCTTTTACAGGTTAGTTTTCTGAGGGGTGAAGAGTAGTTTCTTAAAGAGAAGCACTATCACATGTCCAGCAGATCTGACAGATTAGCTCAGTTCCAGTTCAAGAACGAAAGTGTTTCTGAAATTCAGCTGTGAGCTGTAAGGCTTAAAGAATTTGTGACATCCTGCCTGATGCTCATCAAAGTGTGTTATAGCTAATGCCCAGACAGCAAACTGCACGTGAAGTCTGAGCTCTGCCTGAGCAGTTTCTGAGGCCAAGTCCTCAGTACCCCACCTCAGGTCGTGCTGTCCATTGATCTGAGGGCAGCATGTGAATGGATGGAGGGGAGCAAATGGCATCAGTTTTAGCCAAAGGATATACAGAGTGCAGGTTTAAACTCCTGCCTGTTTCAGAGACTGGTATCACCCTGTCCAAAGGTGATTTCATACCTTGGTTTCCCTGTATATAAACCCAAATCTTTAGATAGGTTTGAAGTGCATTGGTTTTAACTAGAAGTGAATTGTCTGTAACCACCCTTTTCCCAATATCTCTCTTGTCTGTGAATGCCTTCAGTTTATTCACTGTTCCAAACTCACATTTTCCTGTACTCTGCCAATCTGTGTGTGTGTGTTTCTTGCATTCGATATTTTGATGCATCTGCTGATGGTTGTGTTGCCTTTATTGCAGAGGCCAAGCCCAATCCAGCTATACTCGCCTCCTTTCATTCTGGCACCCATCAAAGACAAACAGACAGAGCTGGGAGAGACATTTGGAGAGGCCAGTCAGAAATACAACGTGCTTTTTGTTGGCTATTGTTTGTCTCACGATCAGCGTTGGCTTTTGGCATCCTGCACTGACCTTCACGGGGAGTTGCTGGAAACCTGCATAGTTAATATTGATTTACCAAACAGGTAGAAACTTTGACTTTTTTACGTTGTGTCTAGCCCTGTAGTTGCCATCCCTCACTCCCATCAGCTTCTTGCACATCCTTTTCCTGCTGATGTGATCATGGTAATGTTACAGTGATAACATTTCAGGTGGCACTTTCATGAGCTGCAGAGGAAAAAAAGTTGCTGTGTTAGACTTGGTGCACAAATGCTACTTACAAATCTTACCTTAGAGAACAACTGGTATGTTGCTCAGCACGGTGACACCTCTTGTGTGTCACCCTGCAATAACAGCACTGAAAGCAGACACACTTTTTCTGCTTCTTGTTAGTAGACGTTACTTTAGGCACCGAATGGCAAGAACCCACGTGGAGGGTGAGCAGTGAAATAATTCAGAGAAATGTGAACGTTGTCCTCGGTTCTCTTCTTGCCCCAGGTCGAGGAGGAGCAAACTGTCTGCACGTAAGATGGGGCTGCAGAAGCTCTGGGAGTGGTGCATTGGCATTGTCCAGATGACCTCGCTGCCGTGGAGAGTGGTCATTGGGCGGCTTGGCCGCCTCGGCCACGGCGAGCTGAAAGGTACCACATCACTGCCCGTGATTTGGGAGTGGAGACCTGGCCTTGGGGGGCAAGGCACAACAACTTACACAATTCATCAGGAACCTTGAAAACAGAAAACTGAGAGGGCTACTCCTGCCCTGGCACGGGATTTTTCTGTTGGCTTTCATTTTTCCTTGTTTGTACGCTGGGCTTGAGGCTGCTCCCTCATGTCTCGTAGATGCTGTGTAGATTAACTGCTGCTTGCAGGGTGCTTCCAAGTGGAAGTCACAGGTTTTGGCACATGTTAGAAAAACACCTGAATAGCAATTATCCTGTCACAAAAATTGAAACAGGTTTAAATTCTGATTCCCAAACTTAAGCAAAAAGCACTTCTTGGAAAAGAAGTTACTAAAAAAAAAATACAGATTTTTTTTTTATTTTCTGTAGTAGACAAAACTAACTGGTAATCAGTGTTAACCAGCAGAAAGGTATTCCCTGCAGCCTCTAAAGAATTGCCAAGATTCAGCATTTCTAACAGGATGGTGGGACCTAAAGGGAGAGCTCTGGAGCATTGTAGGTGCCTTAATCCAGCAAGGGTGGAGACTGCCTCGCTTCACTTCAGCCATGGTTCCTCTCACAAGGTTAAATACAGGCACTCAGCATCTTTTCTTCCATTTCTAAAGGCTGGGGCCACTGCTCAGGTTTTGTTTGGTTACTGATTGGAAGAAAATGGGATTCTGAAAGGGTGTTCTCAGTCTTTGCCCATCTCCTGAGTTGGAACACAAAGATCATTTAGACAGGAGGATAAAGATGCTTCATGAGGTTTTGTCCTTTTACATTAATAACTGGAGACATTAATTCCTCTGGTTAGGTTATTATAAGAGATGCTTTATTTCCTGAGATGGGAAAAAAACCTCTCTGAAATTTACTGTGTGAATTTGTGTCTCTGCTTACATTCCAAACATTCCAGTTATGCAACATGTTAGGTGCAAACTGATGGCCTTTTGGGCAAGATTTGTCTGTAAACAAAAAAAAAAAACATGTAAAAATCTTTAAAAAAAGAATCCTTATGTGTTGCCTGTTTCTCATCTGTTAAGTACTTCCTCTGCCTTGCAGGTAGAATGCCAGACTCACTCCTCAAGAACCACATCATCTCAGAGATTTGTCAGAGTCATGCAGCTAGCTCAGGGGAAAGCTATTAATTATTTCAGAAGGAAATGATTCTGCAGTAACTCCTTGACCACCCAGTTTGCAGAGCCAAGCACCTTGTTCACATGCTGGGGACAGTCCAGGACAGGAGAGGGCTAAAGAAATGCAAAGTGTGATGGATGTTTTGCTGTGTTCAAGCAAGTGCTGGCTGTTGCAGACTCTGTTCTGTTCTCTGACAATGTCCATCCATTGCAGACTGGAGTATCCTCCTCGGGGAGTGTTCCCTGCAGACAATCAGCAAACAGCTCAAGGAGGTGTGCCGCATGTGTGGCATCTCATCAGCAGACTCTCCATCTATCCTCAGTGCCTGCTTAGTTGCCATGGAGCCACAGGGGTCATTTGTTGTGATGCCAGGTAAATTTTATCCCACTCTTTAAATGCCAGTGAAACTTTTCTTCTTTCGTGATGCTTATCCCGTGAGCTCATTAGTTTTGGGAGATTTTCAAGTCCAACAAGAAGACCTTGACTAGCTAAATGTAGAGGCTAAATGTAAAGTAAAATAGGTTCAGCCAGCAGAATTCCCCAAAATACGACAAAGAAGGGCCACATTGGGAGTGCAGGCTCCTGGGGGGAGAGTTTACTGTGTGCCACTGTCCAGCTGATCACCTTCTCCTTGGGGAGTCTGTGTTTTCAGGGTCAATGAAATAAAACCAAATGTTGAAGTTACCTTTATTTATTTGTTGTATTATGTAAGCACATACTTTTTGATGTACATGGTGACATATCCTTACAAACTACCCTGTGTTTGCAAATTCAGGAATAAAAGATTACTACATGGAATAGAACTAAACGAGCTTGAAAATTACTCATCAAATTGAACAATCTTCAAAGCAGAGATTTTGTAACATGAGAAAAGAAATGGCAAGTTATGCTTGGATCATGTCAACCAAAGTGGGGTGTATTTCCTAATTTTATGGATGTGTGATAAAAATAAATTTAACCTGGGAGTAAATCTTTGGTTAAGGGGCAGCAGAATGGAAGGAAAGGTGGGACAATTATGGGAATTCACGTAGCTGAACATTAGACAACTTGTGACCTTCATTTCAAGATCCTCTGGTGATTTATTCTTTCTAAGATAAGAGCCTCAAAACACACACATTAGCTTTTGCAAGCCCAGGTTAGAGGCACAGGAATCTAACTGAACATAAACCATGTTTTTTGAAGATGCTGCAAATTAACATCTCTGCCCTTGCCTGTGTTCTGGCAGATGCTGTCACGATGGGCTCGGTGTTCGGGCGGAGCACGGCGCTGAACCTCCAGTCCTCTCAGCTGAACACCCCTCAGGATGCCTCCTGCACACACATCCTGGTTTTCCCAACCTCTGCTACCATCCAGGTGGCACCAGCCAATTACCCCAACGAGGATGGATTCAGCCCTACTAATGGTAGGTCAGCATGTGCCTCATGCCAGAGGTGAAGCTGTTCTCAGATGATCATGCTGATTTATTCCAGAAGTGCACAGAAGTGTACAAAGCTAATGAAGAAGGTAGTTCTTGGTTTAGAATTTTAATCTTCTTGTAAAGAAGGCAAAATAGACCAACCTGGGAATTCAGAATGCTAGCAGTGTGCTTTTCAAAGCTTTAAACCTGTAGTTGGTGTCAGCAAGACTCCACTTAATACTTTCTGTTGTCTTTTCCCAACTGTTTTGCCATAAATCCTTTAAAATGATTTTAAAATAATTTAAACCAAGAGTAACTACAAACGTTGACAATAAAAATGTGTTATGAAGAGGGAAGATACAGTAGAGAGAGAGAGAGAGGAGGAAAGACCCACCATTTTTTTGTGATCTGTTCCTGCTTTGATCTGTTCCTTCTGGAATTTCAGTGGGCCTCACAGAAGGGAAGTTTCCTTCTTAATACTTGAGCGTCTGTCCTTTCAAGGCCCCTGAATCCTGACTGAACACAGTGCTGACAAATATTTAACCTGCATTAACCTGCCCTTTAGTGCTTCAGATGCTAATTAGAATCAGGTACAAGAACCGGCGGTTTCCAAAATGGTGTTAAATTTAATTTTCTTAACTCCATTCCACTTAATGATTAAACTGCTTCCTATGCCATTAGCCATCTCATCTGTGCTGTGGAGCGTGACATGAGTTCAGTTTTGTTTACTGAGGTTGTAGGACAGAAGTTAATAAACTTCAGTTAATGCCTCGCTCTTGCAATCAAGTGTTTCTCTTCAGACGATGAAGAAAAGCAACCACCTGCCTGTTTCAACACCAGGACTTCAGGTGAAATTGGTTCAAGGCACACACACTCTTCTCCATTTTCATGGAGAATTCTGCTTTTTCAAGACAAATTGTTTATTGTAGCTTGTAGAAACGCATGTCTCTTATTTAGGGCTCTGTGTGTTTTAGTAACTATTTGGCTGCAGTTTAATGAATCCAGTGAATTCAGATGCTTCCCACTGTCCCTTTCTGTGCCCTAAAATGTACTTTACATGGCATTCTACTATTGAAATGTCTTTGCCTCCTGAGAAATCTGGATAAGGAGAAGAACCCTCTAAACCAGATTGTGATGCTTGTCACTTTTTGCTCAGTGTTTATAATGGCTTTGCTTTCCCTCATGTAAATTACTGGTGGTATCATAACCTGGCTTGCAGATACCTGAGTATTGGAACATGCTTCTAGAATGCAAACATGTTTTCACTGTAACACTTTACACCCTTCCCACACGTCAACATGAACCAAATTAAAATAGCAAGATATGATAATACAGCCGTATTTAATTTTGGAGGTGATAGTAAAATCTGAAAAGCTGCAATGTGGGAAATCCTGGTGCAGGGTTTGAAGCCTGCGAGCGTGGAGCAGCCTTGCTGCCCCTGTTGGTTTGGTGAGCAGTCTCCTTGAAGCTCTCCTCCCCAGATGCTGGGAGCAAAGGGGTTGAAGCACTGGTGTGTGGCACTGGAGAGCTGAAGCTCAGCACCCGCTGAGACTGGCACACGTCGGTTTCTTTAATGTATTTCAAGTGTTTTCTTAATGGATTTCTCTGACCAACTGCAGAGAGGTGTAATTTTTTTTTGCTGTTACCAAGTTGAATTTGAATTTTGGTGAAGCTGGTATGACAGGATTTTTGTTCACCCTGACCATTGTCAAGATTCATGATATTAATAGATGTCTGCCAACTTTTCCTTTCAAGTCTGTGCGGTTGCAGTCAAAGGTACTAAGAAGGATTAAACAGCAAAGTTTTTATCTCAGCTTTCATCTGTCTCAAGAGTATGTAAAAAAAGGGGGATGATAAATTAAAGGGAATGGTAATAAATTACCAAAACTTCTTAAAAAATGTCTTAACAGCACAGTGGAAACTATTTTTTATTTCTTTTCTTTTTCAGATGACATGTTTGACCTCCCATTCCCAGATGACATGGACAATGACATTAGAATTTTAATAACAGGGAATCTTCATTCTTCACCAAATTCCTCCCCAGTTCCTTCCCCTGGATCACCATCTGGCATTGGAGTGGGATCCCACTTCCAGCCTAGCAGGGTAAGGCTGTAGCACTTAAAGGCATATATTGCTTAAACACAAAAAAAGACCCAAACCCTCCAACAAAATCTTTTTTTCCTGTAGATTCTCAAACATAATCAGGTCCAACAGTGAAAATCAAAGGTGCTGTTTAAATACTGTTGTAGAAGATGCCTCTGCTTTGGCTGTTTATATCCCTAAAGTTGCTAGTGTACAAGATAATTGAGAGGAAGAGGAGGGAGCAGCTTTATTTTTGTATGGCAGAGCCTTATCTAGTGACCCTGGATAAATTTAATCTATACTCATCCATTTTTTTTTCTGGAAAATCACACGGAATGTCCCTGGCACAAAGTGACAAGTCTTTGAGGAAAAGGAAGATGTGACAGCTCTGTTCCCATGAATTTCTAGGGGAGGCAAGAAGGGAGATCATTCTCCTAAGGATAAAACCCTACCCATGGAAACTCTGCAGGTGCTGGATCTTTATGCAAATGTTTTCTTCTTAGTAAAAATTAGCCCAGAGCACATAGTGTTTGTAAGTTACTTTTGTTTGAAGTGGCTTTTATAAAGTTGCTTCCAAGACCAGTGATTACTTAAAATGCAAATGATTTTTGGTAATTCAAGGTTTGGGGGTTTTCTTGAATCAGTTTTAGCATGATTTGGATCACGTTTGATGGAACACTTTTAGTGATTTAATTTAGAGTCTTAGCTGTACTCTTACAATGGTTTTCTTCACAAATAAGTAGAAGTTTGGTGCTTCATAATTTCCTGTAGAGAAGTTTTATTCTAGAAATAGTACATTTGAAGCAGTAGCGTATTACCTCTTTACTAACTAATAGTATTTTATGAAAGAAACTGGATCTGTGTCTATCACTGGTGGTTTTAAACAGCCTCAAGAGCAACTGTAGATTTGGTATGAAAGTAAGTGCAGAATGGATGCACAGAGGAGGTGCATGAACAGCAGGAGACCTGCCTGTGAGTGATGCTGCTCCTTCAGCCTCTGTAACAAAGCAGGCCACTTTTCTTAGTGTAAATAAGGTGTTTCAAGGAGAGAATCCCCACTCTCTGGAAATGACTAAATGGTGTTGGTTTCACTGCAAAAAGAAAAAGTCCTGCCAGTTATTTCCCTTGCAGCTTCTGCCAAAATGTTTCAGTGGTCAGCTTAATATAGCCTGTGAGTGAGAAATTACTTTAGCATCAGCCCCAAAAATGCTGATTTTGTGATCTCAGTCCACAACCACCTTTCCTTATGTTAATAATCCAACCCACTTTTCAAAGGCTAAATAATTGCACGTTACTATCACTTGGTTATTTCCAGCTGGTATGTGGGCAAATTAAAAATTTTTACTTCTGTTACTGACCCCTCCAGCCATAAATCACAACTCCTCACTTGTTACAACTTCTCTCATTTAGTCCATTCAGCAATCTCTATTCTGAATTTTAGAAATGTATTTACAGAACTTATTCTCCATCCAAGTGGCTTAAGAACAGCACTGAAAGGTTAATGACCAGAGAGCTGAGAGCCATGGACAAGCCTAGAGGAACCTGTCATAGTAATTCAGTTTAACCATTAACAAGGGCCTAGTAATTGATGTGTAATTTTTGGTTTTACAAAAGCAGCAGCGTGTGATCATTACCTCGTGGGTCGGGGAAGGTCAGGCCTTGGTCCGTGTAACCCATAATTGATTGCTGCAGCTCAGCACTGTGAGCCCAAATTGCTCAGCAGCCACTTTCAGGGTTTGCTGTTAGTGCCCCCAGCCAGGTGAGCTGCAGCCTTCTCCAAGCTTTATGGAGTGTTTAACTTCCTTTGATTCCTGATCAAGATATTACTGCTGGGGAAAGACCTGCTTCAAGGACTAGCAGTGCAGGGTTTGTGATTAGGCTGGTTTCTGTGCAGTGGAATTATTTATTTTTTCACTGATTGACTTTAAAGAAGTTTATGGGTTAAATGAACTGCTGTCCCAGTTCTTCTGGCATAAAGGAGCTAAAATTCTTCACAGGGATTTGGTAAGCCAAATAATAAAGGGTGTTTCCAAAAAAAAGCCCAACACCTTTAAAATAGGAATGTACTGTAGAATGGAATGGCAGTGACCCTTTCTGATACTCCCTGGTGGGTTTGGTGATGTGGTCCCTGACAGATGAGGGTACGTACATACGTGGGATGAGGGAGCCAAGCTCACTCCAGCAGCCTCGGGTCTGGAAGGTCCATCTGGATCCTACTCTACACAAAATCACAAATGTGTAGCTGACAGCCTACAACTCAAAGTCTGATGAAGTCAGTTCTAGAGATGGTTCCTCATTGTTTAAACTCTCTCCTTTCCAAATAACTCTTTGGTTAAGGACATGAGTAGCTAAACCTGCAAAAATACAGTATATAAATACATGAATAAGTGATAGAAACTGAAAAGCAGGAGAGCTGCTTCCTTTTCCCCACACTTCCCCCCCTCGGTGATACAAATACAGGCAAACCATTGGATCTTCTGCCCAAGTGTCCATAGCAAGTGTAGTGTTGGGTTTTTTCCCTAAGCTGTCAAAATAACTACCTGGAAAAAGTAAAAACAAGCAAACACCCAAAACCAGAGACTCTCTTGTGCCATATGGAGTGTGAGATGCACCCTTCCACTGGCTGAGGTCAGGAGGACCTGCAGTGCAAACTGCTGGGTTTGATAGATGGAGGAGAAGCCTGGGAGGCTTTTGAACCTTGAATTCCACTCTGGTCTCTGCAGGCACAGAGGAAGCTGCTCAGATTCACAGCCACCACCTGGCACCTTGAGTCACTCCACAGCGTCAGCTCCCACACGTCCTTGGGTCAGTGCAGGAGCTCCACGTTGCTCTCTGGGAATCTCCAAGTGATTTTGGAAGCTAAACCTGGAGAACCCAACTACAGGGGAGAAAAGGAAGGGATTAGAGAAATTTTCCTAAGATTGATGGGTGACTAAAGGATAGCTCATTAATAACGAAGATGGAAGTGAATTACATACTAATTGGTAAACAAAATTAAAGTTATTGAAGTGGGATGTAATGATGTAAACCAACAAACCTACGTTTTCAACTCCCCTTTCAGAGCCAAGGGGAACGTCTCCTTTCCAGAGAAGCCCCTGAAGAACTGAAGCAGCAGCCCCTTGCCCTTGGATACTTCGTGTCAACTGCCAAAGCTGAGAATCTTCCGCAGTGGTTCTGGTCATCCTGTCCTCAGGCACAAAACCAGTGTCCCCTCTTCCTGAAGGTTTGTCTGGGAATCCTTCCCCAAGGGAAGGATCAGAGCTGGACTGGTGTAACAGAACTGGCCCTGTTTTCATTGGCAAGCAGCCACAGACAGGAGGGACCCACCTTCTGTTCTGCCCTACTCCAGTTATGGCACACACATGAGAAGTCAGGAGGGAGGGTTGCACCCCCAAACAGAGCATTTACTATCCATTTCTATTTCCCTCCTTGTAAAAGTTGCACAGTGAAGTCTGTAGGGTCAGAGTGAACCTGATCCCTTCTGTTCCAGAATCCCAGCAGAATTAGTTCAGCTACTAGAGATTCACTGCTCCCTGTAGAGTGTTGGGCAGCTGCTTCTTTGCATAAATCAAAAAAATGGGGACTAGGGAGCATGGGAAGAAGGTGAAAAATCCACCTTCCATAGTACCACATAACTATTTGAACAAACTACAAGTAGAATAACACCACTTAATTCATCTATCCCCTCTTAATAACAAACACTAAATGTTTTTGCAAGTCTCTTAATGCAGTTCTTCATCCACCTCTGTCAGGCAGCTACAGAGTGAAGGTGGTCAGGATTTCTCAGTTCTTCATGCAAAATAAGCAATTTTAGGACAGATGTTAACCATGACCTGCAGTCAGCATTATGTTCAGTATAGCACCAGCAAAGTACTGAACCTTCCCCCTTATCCCCTGGGTAGACTTCCTTGAAGTGTGTGCTTTGCTTTAGACCAACAGAATGGAGATGTCAAAGTGATATAAAAAATAAACCAGCGTGGTTTTGGCGCTGGAGTTGAAGTTTTATGCAAAACTTAAAACTACCTTTTTTATTTTTTTAATGAATGAGTAATCCAAAGACTATGTTTCAATTTCAGCAGTAAAAAAAAAGTCAGCAGAGCTCCAGGCAACTTGATGAATTCCTTCCTTCAGCTTATACCAGATTTGTACTTGGAGAGAAGGAGCCACCACCCCCCAGCCCAGCACAAATGCTCTCTCAGATCTAGGCTGAATTAAATGTTTAATTTGACTTGGAACACGCTGGTTTGGTTTGGACAGTTTTTAATAAAGGCAAGGGGCTGAATTCCTGCAGTAACTTGTAGAGCGCTGAGTGAGCAGGGGCTGCTGCCTCCTTTGTGCTGCAATTAGGAACCTTGTATGGCACAGGAGCTGTGGGGAGTCAAGTCATCGCTGTCTGATTGGGATTAAGGATTTCTCAGCTAAAATATTTCACCTCTCATGTGCCTGCCATAATTGGAGGAGTATAAATTAGAGGTTTTGCCTCGGCAGGCTGCGTGGTAGATTCGGGTACCCACTTGAAAGGCTTCTGTGGTTGCTGTGCCCCCAGCACGTGATCCATGTGAAATCCCTTTCCCACTCCTCTAGAAGGCATTGCCCCAGCCTTGCTCTCTGGGAAGATGAGGCAAATGGAGAACATGTGCCAGTGGAGAGTGGGACAAAGGCTGCACCAGCTCTGCTGGTCAGATGCCCCATCTCCATGTGGTACTCTGTGATGGGTCTCCATCCTGCTGGGAGGGTTGGAGGACTTGGGATGGCTTGTTCCTGAAATACCAAAAGAACCACTGACACATCCCAAGTTCTTCCTCCCATCACTTCTTCCCTGACTGACACTGAGAACAGAATTCAGCATTCTTTTCTAAAGACCTTGAGTCCAGTCAAAAAGAGAAGTCAATTTATTGGAAAATGTGATCATTCTGGAACTAGGAAGTACACGTGGTCATGATTTTTATCAGTATCTGAAGGGTAGGGGGCAAGAGGCTGGGGCCAGACTATTGTCAGTGGTGCCCAGTGACAGGACAAGGGGCAATGGGCACCAACTGGAACACAGGAGGTTCCACCTGAGCAGGAGAAGAAACTTCTTTGGTGTGAGGGTGGCCGAGCCTGGAGCAGCTGCCCAGAGAGGCTGTGGAGTCTCCTGCTCTGGAGAGATCCCAAACCCACCTGGGTGTGACCCTGGGCACCCTGCTGTGGGTGAGCTGCTGGAGCAGGGGGGTTGGACGAGGTGATCTCCAAAGGGCCCTCCCAACCCCACCATGCTGGGATTCTGTGATTGGTTCAACAAAGAATTGTCATCTTTCTGTGCTGTTCTGAGGCAGCTCAGAGTGTTTGTTCACTGTGAATCATTAGAAGTGCTTGATCTCTGAAGAATTAATTTTTTTTGTCCCCTTACACAGGCCTCCTTACATCACCATATCTCTGTAGCGCAGACAGATGAGCTGCTATCTGCCAGAAATTCTCAGCGAGTTCCTCACCCCCTTGACTCTAAAACTACATCAGATGTCTTGAGGTAACACCTTTTAGTCCTGCATTTCCTCCCTAAGGCTCTTGGGTCTGAGCTCTGAGATTTCAGAGGGACCTTTTCTTTTCAACCTGACAAAATTCTTCCTTAGCTTTATCAACCACGTGTAACTCTGCTATGCCCTACGTGTGTGTCTCAGAGCAGTGGGCAACTCTTGCTACAGCTGCTGCCTCCAGCACCAAAGAGCAGGATTTTGAGGGTCACTTCAACAGTTTTCCATGCTGCTGCACCAGCCTATGCAGAGGAGACTCGCAAACAGCTTTGCCTCACCTGGGTCTGCCTCCCACAGGCCGTTCTCTTTAGCTGGTGGGCTAACCTGGACTGTGCCAGTGATTATTTTTACTCACCAAACCAAGTAGATTTATAGGAGGAGATAAAAATACTCTCCTGAGACCCCTGTCTTAGGAGTTGGGATGTAAAGGAGATGGTCTTCCTGAATTAGTACAGGGTTGTGTAACGTGTTGCATACAGTGGTGTTTGAACCTCTGCAATTCCATCATCTCTGCAGTGTACCAGAGAAGGTCTCCAGGGGAACAGCTTGGGTCAAGTTCAAACATTAAAACTAGAATTTGTGCTCCCCCTACCCCTTTTTCAGTGAGTTTCCTCCTTTGCCAGCCCCACCAGCACTCACACAGCCAGGCAGCGCTCGTGACGTGGCATCGCCAGGAGAGACCAGGGATGGGTTTTGCTAAACCTTCTAGAAAAGGCAGGGAGGGAAGGAGTGACTTCCAGCTTCATTTCTCTCTGCTTCTCTCTCGTGCAGGTTTGTTCTGGAGCAGTACAATGCACTGTCCTGGCTTACGTGTAACCCTGCCACTCAGGATCGCAGCTCCTGCCTTCCTGTCCACTTCGTGGTGCTCACTCAGCTGTACAATGCCATCATGAATATACTTTAATAGATAGGAAAGCACTTGTTCTTCTGGCTTATCCCCCCTCCACCCCAGAAACGTGCCACAGTCTGCAAAGATCACCATCCTGCTTCTCTTCAGACCAGTCCCGTGCTGTGCTTCTGCTCCTCCAAAAGCACATGTGAATTCTGCAGTGTTCAAAACTAAACTACCCATTAACATCTCTGGCAGCTTCAGTCCGAAATCTGGGAACATCCAAGGACAGTGAACACAGAGTAACCTCAAGTCAGTGTTAGTTTGGTGGCCCAGTAACTACTGGTCAGTGTGATTATGGTTTTTTTTTTTAATATTTTATTTTTTTAAGGAAGACTACAGTATCTTTTTGCATTAGGAACTCTGAGAAACAGCCAAGAGCAGTTTCAGCCCTGCAAGTAAAAACACCTTGTAGTGACCAGTTTGGGTTGTCCAACACTTATTTTGTTGTTTGTTCATCATAAACTGGGACTTTGCAGGAGGAAAGGAAAAAAAAAAACAAACAAACAAACAAAAAAAAACAACCAAACCACCCACCCACCCAATTGTAGTCTCGTATGAATATTGGAGTTTTCTGTCTACCTGGAGTTCCTGTCAGAGTGGACTGGGATGAACGCATGCATTTGTTACCTGTCCATGTAGATATGAATGGTCTGGAGATACTTTATTTATTTTTAGGTTTTGGGGAGGGGAGGGATTAAATTATAGAGGACCAGGAACAGTAGAATATCTTCAAAAGCCAGCTCCGTTCCACTGTAGGGTTATTTATCTCCAATACCTCTCACTCTTCTGACCTAGAAATGAAAAACAAAGCTAACAACCATCCAAGGCCGAGCTGGGGAAGGGGAAAAACGTGTTCCAGTTGGGAAATGCTCGTGGTTAAGGGATTCTCACCTGCAGGTGGCCTGGGAAAAGTGAGGACTGGCCGGTGTTGGATGAAGGAGAACACTACCTGGGTTGGGAGAAGAGTGAGAGAGAGAGGTAGGGAGGAAAAATTCTTCAAAGCCCAACGCGAGGGCGACTGGAAAGTGGTAAATGGATCTTTTGCGGAGCTACAATTGAAATATATTGCTGAGAAATTTTGTGATGCTAGGAAAGTATTTAGTGAAACCCAAGTCGCCCTCTAACTCCGGGCGCACTCGTCCGTGTACATATCCAAAAAGATGGTTTTTGTTTACACTAAATCAGTTACAAATCTGGTGTATTTTTTCTGACTATAGGAATATTATTTCAAAGAAATAATTTTTAAAAATTATATCATTAAATTAGTACTTGAAGTTATACCACTGTGGTGGAAAAGTTACTTTGTTTAGTAAAATGATTGCCATTTTAAAGGTTAATGGCTAATTGAAGTATTTTTATGACTCCTTCATTCCAGGCTTCAAGGGGTTTATATTTAAACTCCATTTTCTAGTGTTTGTTGTTGCACTGTGCAGCAGGCGTGGGGCTGCCTTACGTGAGGGGTCGGGCACTTTGATCAGGCTGTGTGACCTTCTTAGCTATCTGTGGAGAAAAAATAAAAAAAAAAACAACAAATTTTAAAGTTCTTCCAAAAGACTTTCATGTTCTGGTGAAAAAAAAGAAAAAAAAGGAAAAAAAAAAAGAAAAAAAAAAAGAAATTCTATGATTTTAAAAAGTATTTTTCTTGAGATGATGTAACATTTAAAACAAATTATATAAAATAATAAAAAAAAAAGAGAATTGCTTGTGTAATGAGAAGGTGAAGCCAGAGAAGGAACCTGTAAATGGATTATTTCATTCTCTGCACCACACCTCCCATGTTGGGTGTCCTCTTTGCAATGTATAGGTTAAAAAGAAAAAAGAAAAAAAAAAATCTGCTATCAAACCATTTGTATCTAATGTGTACAGTGTAAAATTGACTTTAAAAATATTGCAGTACTATTTTTTCTTAATCAGAAAAAGAAAATTCTCAAGGCCTTTTGAAGAGCATAAAAAGATGAAGATTGTAAACTTGTATAAAAAAAAAAAATTTAACTTGGGGAGGAAAAAAATGTAAAGTAGACATTTGTAATCTTTTACCATTTGGGGGTTATTTGTTCCCAGGATTCATCTGAACTTTGGATTATTATTTTGTTTATTCTTTTTAAAGGGGCCGTTTTTATCCAGGGGCGTTTCTTCCCCAGAAACCTGGTTCTAAGCAAAAATTAAAAATAAAAAAAAGGGCAGCAAGGAGTAGTTTTCATCTGGTGTCTTTTATTTAATTTTTTTAAGTTAAGAGAAGCTGGTGACATATTTATACGTTTTTGTGCAAAATAAATGAATGGCAATAGATTTTAAAGAAAAATCTTATGTACTTCAGTGTGAAAAGTTCTGTATAATATTTCCCTTAAATATGCATTATTTTACTTGTGAGTTTTTTACTGAATTAATCTGAAATGTACAAGCCCTGGCTTTCCTACGGAGTGAAGAAAATTTCTTTATTTTATTTCCTTTTTTAATTTCTAACTTTGGAAATTCATGCCTAAATCAGAATTACTATGACAGTTGTTTGAGCTAAAGGGAGAGGGCGGGGTGGGGAATGTCCAGCATGCTTGTATGTATATTTCAGAACCTTTTTTAAATGTAAAAGCTGTACATTTTTGGGGGAGTTCTGAATTTCCTTTCGGTTTTGTTTTGGTTTTTTTTGTTTTTTTTTGTTTTTTTTTTTCTCTCTCTCTCTGAGCATTTTGCAGTGAGCTTCTTTTATATCTAGCCGACAATTTGAAAGAAAACAGACAAAAAAAAAATGTGAAGTTCATTTTAAATCTACAGTATATCGCTGGTACAATACACTAAAAAAAGACTTTGATAAAAAGAAACAATAATAATAAAGACCTCCATTTTAAATGTCATTCATATATACCTTGTGGATGAGAGCTATATACTTTTACACACTTTTTTAGATGAATAAATTATTGAATTACTGAAACTGTTGGTGGAGTTTTATTCTTACAAGTATCTTCTTTAACTCTGAAGTCCTGGTTCTGTAAGGAGGTTCCCTCTGACCAAGACATTCGGTGTGGAGCAGGTTCATTTCTAAACACAGATGTGCAGAAAAAAAACAAGGTAAATTTACCAACGAGACCCTCTCACTCTGCTGGACATTAACAAGACCAGAGACCTGTTTTGTGTTCACCTATAGGAATAGTTCTGGAAAAACTTAGAACAGACTCTTCAGATTATATATAGATTTCTCTACTTAAAGAAGTGATCAATCTGCAACCCCCCTAAGTAGCTTCTGAAGACCATACCGTTTGCTTTACTCTTGAACAAGAAAAACCAACAGCAAACTCCCCCTCTTTTGTGGTCCTGCAGCAAGCATCAAGGGCGACCCCTGCCCACACTCACTGGCCACCTCTGCTTGCTCCACACTCTTGCCGTGTCTCATTTCTCAATTCTTATCCAACCATCTCCACCTCCTCTACCTTCACATCCCAGGACACGGTTCCTGTCCCACAGCACATGCACATTTTTCTGTTGGACAGACCTCTCATTCCAGAACCTGCTTCTGCAAGGTATTTGTCATCACACATCAACATCCTCTGACTTCACAGGCAGTGATTCCAACTCCAGCTGGGGCATTTTAAAAGCCACAGGCCAGCAGAAAACAGATTCTGGTTGCCCTGTGGCAACAAGAACAGACCCAGGTCCTTCCCAAAAGGAATTTAATTTCCTTACATGGTAAATCAGACATAGGTTTTAAAAAGTCCTACTAGCCTGGACACTCTCTCAGCTTTTATTTAAATATCATGCCATCGAGAAAATGTCAAACTGTGGCATAAATCTAGGAACAGATTGCTCTGAGATGTGCTGCTTTGAGCTTTTTTGAGGACTTCTGCCAGCAGATGCTGGTGTACAATAGAATCCAAATTACCAAAGGGGAACGTGCACTTCTGTCTCTGCACAACAAGCTCGTGGGCTCCTGCTGGCGTCAGAAACCTAATTTAAAAAAAAAAAAATTAAAATAAAATCA